CTTAGTGTGAAATAAGAAAGTCTAAGAGTTATCCTTAGCTAGCCTTCTGCGAAAGCGTAGAAACGCTCTTTCCTTAAGGTACTTGTTGGACGAGAAAGAAAACTGCACTATGAGTAGCGAGAAGATAGATAATTTTTTCCTTGTCCAAAAAGCTTAGACATTAGAAGCTCTCACCCGTCTCACAATGACTCATTTGTAACTTTGTAACTTCATAGTCTTTGGGATTAAAACTGACACTCAGCCTCAGATAGTTAGTACTTAGGTTAGGTTATGTTACGATCTTTACCAAGGAAACGGGTCCGATAAGGTATTGTTATAAATCGGATACGTGCAAATAAAGTGGTGTATGCTTAACGGCACCCCATATTGCACAATGGGCAGACCGAAGAAGGCACATTCTTATAAGCTCTTGCATTGAGGTTCAGAAAAATCCACTAGCGGGAAAAATTAAGCTAACAGAATAGACCCTAAATTTATCGTTGATGTTTTGGTGTTTTGACTTTTTTGTCAATTCAATAAAAGTAGTTGTCCTTCCTTTGGCTAGAAATCGGAAATAAAAGGAAAACTTACGCTGCTTGCTAGATCTTTCCAGCTGTTTATCCAATAAGCCCCCTTTTGAAGACACTCTTCCGCTAGGATGCGCGACAACTTATTTCTTGGTAAGCTGAGGCACTTAGTAATAAAAAGCATATGCGGGCGGATGATATGAAGATTTTGCCGCTGTAAGCCTGCCTACAGATGAAGATGAGTGTGGTAGGCAATGAAGTTTTTTTAGAAATAATTTTAAAAGTTTTTCTAAGGTATCAGGCATGACATTCCGCTGTAGTTGGTATTATTACCAGGATCATACTTCTTAAAAAGAAGAATCAATATGGATGAGCTAAGTGAAGAGGGGAACTGTTTCTTGTTATCTTGGGCGTTAAATGCCAAAATGTAGGGTTCACCTGGTTATTTGTTTAAAGTTTTTAGGGTTGATGGACAAACATAAATAATAAATAAATGTGAAATATGAGCTTGATTTATACATTTTTAAAAACCAAATAACAAATCGATTTAACAGTTTTCCAAACTATCTCGAAAAAGTTTGAAAAAATCACACATACACACATCAAAATTCTCTATGAAAAAAATATTTTTTCAAATTGTTTTTTTTTTTAATTTTTCACATACAATCTTTTTGATAAAAAAAAATAATTTCCAGAAAAAAAAATAAAAAAATAAATTTCTTTTTTGCAGAATTTTGATGTGTATATGTGTGATTTTTTTCAAATTCTTCCCTCGCCCCGTTCTCGAGATATTTGGAAAACTATTAAATTGATTTGTTTTTGTGCTTTAAAGTTTTTAAAAATGTATTAATCAAGCTCAAATTTCATATTAATTTATTATTTATGCTTATCCATCAACCATAAAAATTTGAAACAAATTAATACACATGAAGTGTGAACCCCGTCCATTTTGGTGTGGAATGCCCCATATATAATTCATTTATGAAACGATGCGGCGCAAATTCATAGAACCCATAGCTTATATGTACGATTTTTTCCTGGAGCTACATATATTCTTTTTTGTGCCCAGAATAATAAAGGTCAACTCCGTGAAATCAAAAGGCGCATCAAGGAAAGGGTTGATACACAGAGGCATTGCCAGTGCACATATAATGCAAGAGTCGTTTTTTTAAAATGCTCATAAAAATCGTGGGTTAGAAGACTTGAAAGTAGTGGGTGGATATTTTTAAGAGTATTTCCTATTTGCCACCAACCTCTGGTATTGCGGATAGAGTTCAGTAGTTCAATGTCTTTACATCACTCCACTCCAGTTTTTCTTGCTACAAAGTTTCAACTACTTTTTACGACACCCCTCCTCTATTTTTCTTTCATAGTTTAATTAAAGAGCTCATTACCTTACCACGCAAGTTTGAGCACTGACTATGTGAGTATCAAACCATTCATTCCTCGGCGTGCAACGACATACATATATATTTGGCATTGTAAGCGGTGCTATGTTTAATTTGTCTGTGAGAGTAGGTATCTTTTTTTTGCCATAATATTACTAAACTAGCGTACCCGGCGAACTTCGTCTCGCCCAAATCTAATTTTTTGTAGGAACCACACTTTCACCAAGTATTCCTTTGAAGACTTTCAGTGGCACATTTGTCTGATCTAAATATGGTTTTGGTGGTCGTCAGAAGGCATATCGTTCGTCGCTATTTTAAATAACCTAACGAAATCGTTTTGGCCGTGACGAAATTCTTGCAAATTTCCAATGATCGATATTAGAGTTGCCAACGAAATAAATTTGAAAAGCCGTTTTTCTCTTCATTCACTATCTGGAACAATGATCTGGTTCAATGAATCTGTATATTTAGCATAGTTGGTGGCAAGTTCGAAACGGGTCCACATAAATCCAGTATACAAAGACTTATTTATGGTAAATCGCCATAAAGCAATGAGCTCAGGGGTTCTGATGGTTGATTTAACTGTAGTAACTTGATTTTAACCCCTGCAGATCTCAATCCCGTTGTCTCCGAATGAAAGTTTTACGCATTGTGAAATTAGAGATGTGATTTTCTGGACCAATTGTAACACACAGAATTTCGATATAATTAGACTTTCACGGTATTTTTTCTCATTTAACAATGCAGATCGCAGGATTCCGCTTTTATTTCAGTTGCTAATGAGCTGGTTACTCCTGAGGTCGTCCTGCATGAATTCGCGATGAGTGCACTCAAAACTGAACACTGAGAGTAGGTACAAATGGCGAAGAATTCCCAAAGAATATTCTCATTCAACATTATCTATCTAGAGTTTCGCCCGAAAACAAATTCGCAAGAAAGTTTTTCATCCGCTCGTAGTGAAGACACGAAAAAGAAATTAATTTTTTTTTTTTGGATTTTGCATTTTTAATCAAAATTCCATAATACGTACATTGTTCAAATCCAGAAATTGTAAATGGAACCGGTAATAATTTACAACGCATTCTAACCTTAATAATTGTTTAGCATACATACAATTTTGTATCTGGACAAGCATTTCAATGGTAATATTACGATCAAAATTAAAGAAATAAAATAAATGTCGTGTACAAAATCTATGGAAAAGCAATTTATTCGAAATTTTCTGTTCGGAAATTTTTTCAATTTTCCTTGTGAAGAGACAGACAAACGCAACAAAAAATACAGCTTACATAAGACAGTCCTTTCTAGAGCTATGCTCGGTATTATGATTTAAATTTTCAAATATTTGGCAACCCTATTCAAAATTATTAATTCTGTTTAAGAGTGAATTTAAATGCTTTGCATTCCCTGAATACGTTGCTATATTTTAGTCGATATATGTTTAAGTCCCAAAATTTTTAAGCGAATGGCAACCCTGTTAAAAAGTTGTTATCCTTTACCTCTACCAGCGAAGCTGTCCTTCAAAATAGAGTTTCAATCATTCAATTTGATGAAGTACTATATAAGATATGGCCGGATACAGTGCTTTCAGCTCTTTAAACCCCCATTTTTTTGATAAATAATTAAATTTGAACAACGTGCCTAGTTTTCGCAGGTACGCGAGCTTCCCCCCTTCCAAATGATATCACTGGGTAACAGAAAAATACCTTTTAGAAATAAGTATATAGATTATGTACATACATTAGACTGCATCACAAAAAAAAGTTGCAGTTTTTCCGCCGGGATTACAAAATCTATTATATTTTAAGACGTCCACCAAAATATTTCGGAAAAATATTAAGATTTAAGTGAGCTGGAGCGATTTGAAAATACCTCCAAAAATGTAGTTTTTTATGAATAAAAATAGTTTCTTAAAGAACTTTTTGAAAAAAGTCCCCTCAGATGACAAAACAACTTAAGCTTAAAAAATCTGCATACAAATATTTAAAAATCGTTTCAACGGAATCGTAAGAATGAGATTTTTGATGCTGTTTTTTTACTTTTTTTCAAAGATTGGTTTACGAAAAACTTGAATAACTGGGACAAAAATGTTTTGATTTAGACTTCTGGGATCTCAGTAGAAAGGTATTTTCACACTGTTTTTATTTCTGGCCAAAAAAGCGTCATTCGTGTCCCATCTTGTTTTTTCGAATACCGACACATCTCAATTCAACTTTGAATGACGTTCGTTCATCCTACCTTTCTCTTCCATCCTTTGAATGAATTTATTAGCAAAGAAATAAAAAGGATGAGAAAATACCTTTCCAATGACACCTCGTAAGTCTAAATCGGAAGAGTTTAGGTTCAGTTATTCAAGTTTTTCCTATACCAATCTTTGAAATAAGTTGAAAAACAGCATCAAAAATCTCATCATTACGATTCCGTTCAAAATTTTTTTTTAATTTTTTTAAAATATTTTTATGCAAATATTTTAAGCTTAAACCGTTTTATCATTTGAGGGGATTTTTTCAAAAAAAAATCTTTAAGAAACTATTTTTATTCATAACAAACTAGATTTTTGGGGGTATTTTCAAATCGGTCCAGCTCACTTAAATCTTAATATTTTTCCGAAATATTTTGGTGGACGTCTTAAAATATAATAGATTTTAAAATTCCAATGGAAAAATAGTACCGATTTTTTTTTTTTGTATGGGGAGTGATGCAGTCTAACATACATACATATATAACTGACCGTTAATTCCTAATAGGAATATTTTCTACTCTCTCAGTTTACTACACATTCGAATTTTATTGAGGATATTCAATTTTCTGTGGCCCTGCTGTCGCCATTAGCGTACACAGCTTTTAGACAACATTAATTCGCAGAAAATCCGCTTAACCGAAACGATAATATTACCTTTATGGAGCTAACAAAATGCGCGCAATTAACAAAAACAAGCCACTAAACGGCCGCAAAAACCAGAAATCATGCACCCCCTTGCGCTGCCGAGGCACACAAATAACAACGCTGAAATTATTTTGCTCACCCACACACTCAACTGTTTGACATGTACATAAATGGAGTTTGTGAAAAATTCATTAAGAGCACAAAAAAAAAAAAACTTACCAAAATGATGGGCGATATGATCGCGTTCCTCCGATTCCTCTGGCATACCGCCCATGTCATGACCACCGCCATGCATTGCCATATTCTCCATGCTGCTACTGCTGCCCCCACCGCCATCGTCGTAGTGATGGCTGTGATGCATGTCGCTGGCATGCAGGTGTGCAGCATCAACTGTATAGGCGGCAACACCGCCCAATGCTGCCGCAGCTGAGCCGGGCATATGCGAACAGTAGGCGAGCGGCACACCACCGCCATGGCCTGACCACGGACAGAAGCTGTTAATCCAAATTGCTGCAATTAGCAATGAAATTTCCGGTATTTTACGTTTCCGTTTCATTTTCATTATGTGCGATGGCGCTGCTGTCGCTGTCGCTGCCGTTACCGTGGCCGTTGCGGCCGTTGTGGCGTGCGTTCGCGTTGCAAATCGTGCCCTCGTCGTCGTCGTCGTTGTCGTTGTCATTGTAGAATTTGTTCTCGGCGCACGCAATTTTATTTGCGTCATTTTGGCGTTTTGTGTGCCATTTGCTAAGCGCCAAAATGTATGCATCGTTGCGTTGCCAGTTTGTAAAGTTGCCGTTGCTGCGAATATATTTTAGTTGTTGGTAATAGTATTTATGCCGTAGCCGTTACATTTATTTACAAAAATGTTTGTAGCCAGCTGGTGAAATTCATTAGTCTACGCTGTTTTACGGAAATTTAAAAGCTGGTACACAGCCCATTTTAGCCGATTCTAGCTTTAGAGTTTTACGATCGAATTTTTGTTCTATGGGCCAACTGTGCAAAATGCAGTTCTTTATTGGTATGCTAATATATTTAAAATTTCTGTTTTTTTTTTAGTCATTAGTTTGGCGTTTTTACCTCACATAATTTAAATTATTTTTAATATATTTATTTAATTATAAACAATAAATTAATTCTTGTTATATTTTGAGTNCTGGTGAAATTCATTAGTCTACGCTGTTTTACGGAAATTTAAAAGCTGGTGCACAGCCCATTTTAGCCGATTCTAGCTTTAGAGTTTTACGATCCAATTTTTGTTCTATGGGCCAACTGTGCAAAATGCAGTTCTTTATTGGTATGCTAATATATTTAAAATTTCTGTTTTTTTTTAGTCATTAGTTTGGCGTTTTTACCTCACATAATTTGAATTATTTTTAATATATTTATTTAATTATAAACAATAAATTAATTCTTGTTATATTTTGAGTTTTTTTTCTAATATTCTTTAATATGTATTTAGATTAAATTTTCGTTGTTATGTTGCCCTTTTCTGCTTTCCATTTAATTTTAACGGTTATTTGATCTGTTTGTACTTTAACCGCTTCACCATTCACTATAAAGTCTGAAAAAATAAGAAAGGCATTTAATTATTGTCTCGAAAGATGTGTATTTATGTTATGTTGCATGTAAAAAAGTAATGTTGGAATTTTATATATTTTTTATTTTGAAATCAAAAAATATTTAGATGTCGCTCAAAGCGCCCAAAGTTTTCCAATTTTAAATGGCTCCAAAGAGTTCTCTGAGAAACACCTTCAGCTGAATTATGGTAATTAATTTGAAATTTCGTATAATTTTGCTAACAACATATTTTGTTGTGAAATAATGTCAGAGAAATCCTAAGCAAATTGATAAGACGATGCATACCCTTCGATGTATTGAAAAATATCGCTGTAGATACATTCGAGGCCTCGAATCAAAGAAATAAATCGATATATTTTTGCCACTGACATCCCTTCAGCCGATTCTCACTACACGAAGTATAAATCATATCCAGTATTATTTGCGTTTTCCTGCAGACAACTTAGAAAAAGGGCCTGTCATATGGGCGTTTGAACAGCAGGGGATTAAATTGATAAAAATCAGAACAAGGGAGAAGGCAGGCCACCCTGAGGACAGCCCCTATTAAATCCGCACAGGACATACTGACCCCCCCCTTCTGCCTGTATCCTAACGACTCTCTACGCGAGCATTAGACGAACCAATTTACCAGCACATAATCTACTCCATGCCTTAGGCTAAAAATAAAGTGGAGCGGCGAGCAAAGCGTCAATTACAAACGTATATGTTTCAATGGGAGAGCGCAGAGTGAAGAGGAAAGCGTACATACTCGTTTGTTGTTCAAGCTTTGCTTTGCCCCCCCACTATGTTTTTAGTCTTTTTAAGTGCTGAGTGTTTTTTGCTAAAAAAGGTGGAATTGTCAAAAGCATCCTCAACGTTTATAAAAATGTCCAAGGCGAAGTCTTTCAAGATGATCGTATAACCAATTTTGGCAACCAGATTTTGCCAAGCCGTCTCATAAGTTTTCCCGCCTAATAGGCATGTTGATGCAAAGACAGAGGGGTGGATGATAGCGCCTCCCTATGAACGCACAACTTAATCAATCCCTCCTGACATCTCAGCATGAAGGACATAATTCTAATGGGTCTGAATATTTTAAGACTAGTAAAGTAATCTGTACAAACTTCAGAGATAAAGACGACGTCTACAAGTTGCAACGATTAATCTTAATTTCTTATATTTTTTTCTAATAAAAATATTTCAAACCGAATTTGATTTATTATAAAACTGCTAGATCCAATTGCTTTGTTACAAACTTTTATTACTACGTTTCACCTGTGTGTAATCAAATTAATCCGCTAGGTGGCACAGGTGTCGACCTATTTGAAAAATCCGTATTTCTGGTCCGATAAAGTTCAAATTTGGAATATATATTACTTACATGAAACGGAAAAACTGAAATTTATGTAGTTTCGTGCCCTTTGAACAAAGTTGTCATGCCACCGGAAGAAAATAAATTGTGAGTCCTTTGGACTCGATTGAGTTACATTTAATGGGAAATATTTGCTCNGTGGCACAGGTGTCGACCTATTTGAAAAATCCGTATTTCTGGTCCGATAAGGTTCAAATTTGGAATATATATTACTTACATGAAACGGAAAAACCGAAATTTATGTAGTTCCGTGCCCTTTGAACAAAGTTGTCATGCCACCGGAAGAAAATAAATTGTGAGTCCTTTGGACTCGATTGCGTTATATTTAATTGGAAATATTTGTTTGGCACTTGTAAAATTTATACAAAAACCATAAATCAACGCAGAGTGCGGCCAACTACAGAAATAGAAATGAGACCTATGGCTTTTTATTTCGCCTGTCACAAAGAGAGAAGCAAATACGGGGTTTGCTGAATTTTTGGTTCTTGCTATGTGATTGACCAAATTTCTGCGCGACAATTAGCCAAAATTGCTTCAATGAAATTTCAAAGAATCTAGGCTTTGACGACAATACCTACAACTAGAAGCGATCGGTAACAAAAAGATAAACAGGCACCTAAAAGAGATATATTTTTGAAATTATCAAAGGTAACCTAAAGAAATTTTACACTCCAGGGGAAAATATNAGAATCTAGGCTTTGACGACAATACCTACAACTAGAAGCGATCGGTAACAGATAAACAGGCACCTAAAAGAGATATATTTTTGAAATTATCAAAGGTAACCTAAAGAAATTTTACACTCCAGGGGAAAATATAACTATTGTCGGGCAACTTGTCCAATTTCGCGGGAAATGTTCTCTTCGGTAATGCATGCCAAAAAAGCCAGACAAGCATGGATTAGACATTTGGTGGGCTTGCTACAGCAAAACAAGCTATGACTAGTATCCCAGTAAACCACAGCTCTTAATTAAAAAAGTAGTATGTAGTAGGTTGAACTAATCGCTATTAATCAGACGAGTACGTTGAAAGTATAAGGAGACAATTGAAGAAATTTTGGCTCCATGAAACCTTAGTCACTGGCAAAGATATTTTATCGCATTAGCATGCATACAGTTTTATAAACTAATTTCATAAAACAAATAACTAAGCACATATATATGTATGTAAATACCTTAATTTCGTCAACAAAACCTAAATAGTTGTAGACAAAGCCATTTATTTGAAATTATTAGCGTGTAAATAATAAATGATATGTGACATTGATAAAATGTCATTTACGCATGAACTGTATATGTGTACTTATACTCGTGCATGCATATTTACTTGAATATTTACCCAGTAGTGCAATTAAGTGGTTCGAAAGTGGGGCACGTAAAATGAGTTGAGGACGATGGCTATATACGAGTATTATTAGTT